TATATATATATATATATATATATATATATATATATAGAATGTGTAGTTAAAAATAAGTGTGGAAGAGAGTGATTTTCAATGAATCAAAATCAAATAGGGTTGAAACTTGACTTTCACTTTTTTAGTTACCATACCTAAAATTTGTCTTTAAAAAAGTATAAACTGATAGGACGTGCATGCAATGGACAAAAATTCTACATGAAATAATTTCAAATATTAATTTGATATAGAACTTGCATTTGGGAGACGGAATTTGAAATGTAAGGATTTTGTTCTTCAAAATCTAATTGATAAACATGAAAATGATCAAAACATGATTGATTTTAGGTTTTAACATGAACAAATTTACGTCGAATGATATACTAATAAAACTTAACATTTTCACATTATTCCATGTGAAAACATGCCATGTTTCGTAAATTCTCCAACAATTTGAGTGAAGCTACTAACGATGCAAGAAATGTAAATTTTCGTATTAATATTAGGAAAAATTGTAGTCGGAGTCCAAATCAATCTTTCAAATTATAGCAGATTTATATCCAAATTTTTTATTTTTGTAGTTGGGGTCCAAAACCTTTTATACTGTAGATTCAATTCATCCATTTGAACATCAGTTGACCAAAATTCAACGATTTATTTTATTTTATTTTTATTTAATTATTTTATATGGGTTAATTTGGTCAGATAGTTGAATTTTGTTCAATTAATGGTATGGATTCTGTCCACTTGTCCTTCAGTTCCACTTAAGATGAAAGGTTTGGGATCCAACTGTAAAAATAAAAAAATTGGGCATAGTCTGCAACAATTTAAAAAGTTTGGGACCCTAATTGCAATTCTTCCTTAATATTATTTTAAAAAAAAATTAGAGAGTGTTTGGTTAGGATTAAAATTAAATTTTTAATAGATTGTGATATAAATTTTTGAAATGTATGGTTGAAAAGTTGTGGGACTCATAAAAAATGTAGTTAATGTTAATTGTTTGACTTTGACTTAAATTAAAATTAAATTTTAGCCCTTGTTTGAGCCCCATTTTTGGAGATGGAATAAAATTTTGAATAGTGTATTGATGAGAAATATATAGTTAAAAATAAGGAAAAGTTTTGTATTTGCATGTAATGTTATTTTATTGAAAAATACGTGGTTGAAATGATGTCAAAATATTATTGAAAAATATATTTTTTCACAAAGAATGGGACTCAACCAAAGGCTTAATTCAAACGGAACAGAGTCTTAAGTTCGGTAGCTGGGCACGCCCATATATTTCAGTTCCTGAATAGATTTGTACATTCTCTAATCAATATAAACTTGTCCTTTTTGACTCAAATATAAATTCATATTTGAATAATTGGTATAATTTTTGAAAAGAAAATGGAAATTAATTGCCCCAATAGTCACCTAAGTTTGTAAAAATTTCAAATTCATCCTTAAAGTAATGTTTTTAGCTCACTAGTCATTACTGTTACTAGTGATTCGCAATTAGTCACACCATCACAACAACTAAACATCAGAATCTAATACTACAATGGACTAATTGCCGTGAATCCCTTCCCACAATTTCTTGACCCTATTGACCACTTGGATAAAGGGCCTGTTTGGTAAGGTGTTCGACAAATCAAAAGTTACTTTCGAGATTACGAAGTAGTTTTTAACTTATTTGGATGATATTTTGAGAGTCCTTTGTCTGACTAGAGAAATTTTTAGGGAAATTTGATGTAAGATAACTTTTTCACAAAATTCTTCTACAGAGAGTAGAAGCAAAATGACATGCTAATTTTATTTTAATAAACCAATTGACAAATTGTGAAACTGTTGGTAGAAAAATTCCTTGTGTACAGAACTTGATCAGATAAGTCACAAACGCAAGGGCTCTATCTGAATAAAAAATGGTTAAAAAGTAACCCACCCACTCCCATGTAGGTATGGCAACAGGTTGGGGCGCTTCCACTCGTCCCCTCTCGCACAAAACGAGACAACTTTTTGCCTCGTTTAAATTTTATTTTTATTTGTTTTATATTTTCAAAATTTCGAGTTATGTTATTATTAGATAATAAAATACAAATTCAGAATGAGTTTCCAACGAATGAATTGTCTAGAAATAAAATTATTTTTAATACTTTTTTATTTTTTTCTTCACGGGACGGGTTCGGGTCTGGCCATCCTTGCCCCGCCCCGCCTTGCCAATCCGTTCGGGACGGATTTTTTTGCGCCAGTCGGTGGGGTCGGGGCGGGACGGAAGGTGTCGATAGGCTTCCACCTCAACCTCCGCCTCCTATTGCCACCAGCCTTACCAAAAGTCATCAATTTCGAATAATAACAAAGAAAAAACGCAGAGAGAAAAATCAAATCAGAAAATGGAAGGAGGGCCATCTCAAAGCAACCTGAAGCGCTCCTTTGTTGAAGACGCCGAATCAAACAAACCCCCTCCGTAACTCCCTCTCTCTCTCTCTCCTCTCTCTCTCTCTCTCTCTCTCTCTCTCATATATATACACACACGCACGCACTCGTCTATTCGGCATTTATATACTAATTTGAACCCTGTTTTCGACTATTTGGTTTGGTGAGTAATATTGCTTCTTAAAACATTGTTGGGGTCTGTACATACACATTTATATGTGTATTTAATTATGTATTCTGTCGTGCCATTTTAAAATAAAACAAATACATTCAGTATCAAAAAGAATTTGAGATATAAAATTGTCAAGGAATACATAGAGCTTGATACGCATATCTTTTTTACTTATAAACTTTGTTGAAATGATTATGTTCATTTCTCGAAGGTGAGTATTGTAGCAAGTCAAGATATGAATACAGTAGGTACTTAGAAAAATTGATGAAGGTATATATTAGCAAAGTTAAGTGTTGGATAATGGATATTTATATTGTTCTTGTTTAGAGTTTTTGATGTAGCATTTTCACCTGTGTTCTGATTTTGGCTCTCGTGGTTTCTATATCTTCAATTATAAATTCAGTGAAAAGAGGGTGAGGTTTCCAAAAGGGAAGAAGGTGAAGTTGGGAGACTATGTATTTGAGGATTCACACAGTAAAGATGTTCCTAATTGGAGTGATTCCCGTCTTGCTGCCAAAGAGCGTACAGTGCGGCGGAATAAGATTGCAGAGGAACTTCTTGGTGATGAAAACAGAGATTTCCTCCCCGATATAACAAAGGCCGAAGTCTATTACAAGGTATAGATAATAGTTCTTTCTTTTATCAAAAATTTTTAGGGCAGCTTATGGATGTCCTGTATTATATTATCTTTCTGAATAATAGTTGCCCAAAAAGACCCATACAGATGTCTATTTCATTCTTTATTTCTAAATAAAAATAAAGGGAGACGTTTGAGCAAAGAATTATTCTAGTTGTACAATCGGGGTTGATAACCCCGGTTGACAATGTACTCACAGGAGGGGGGGAGGGGGACCCTTGATTTTTTTATTTAGCGTGGGTGTGTGGCTGTCAACCCCGGTTGTGCATGTAGCATAATTGATGAACAAGATTGAAAAATGATTTTATTTGATGCATTTTTTGAAAAAGAGAAGTTGCGCCATTCCCAGTAAAAAAATATCAAAGGTTTGCAATATCCATAGGATGCTGTCTCTCCCAAGTTTTTGGTTGAGGGTTGATCCTTTTTTCCCCCTATGAGCTGTGAATTTATAGTTTATTCCTGATCCCACCAACGTGTGATGGTTGCTTTTATTTTACCTGGACCAGTAATTTCACGAAAGAAGAAAGAAGAAAACTTCCGCTTGAATAAATATGGCAGTATTTTGGAGCAGTTCCTAGAACTACTTGTTAAAATATCCCAGTAAAGCTTTTAAACTATTTGTTCATTTATTAAATGGTTTTTGTGTACTGAACAGTAACTAATAGGCCTGCCTGGGTTGTTGTATCTCAATTAGAAAAACACATTGTGATTGAATTGTTTTGTTGTAGACATTTTTTTTTTATAACCTCTGTAGTGACCATCAGAATGTGTTTCAGCTGCGTGATTAGTGAGTTACATGTAGCTCAGATTATTGTATTCTCTGTTTTGTGTGATTTTGGACATCTCTTGGTTGCTGATTAAGTTTGTGCTGGTTTTTATTTGTCTTGCTTTTTGGAATTTGTGAGGGTGGGCTGGGGTGGGGAGGCATGAGGGGAAGCCGTATCCAAATATTAACACTTTCCACTTTTACTATGTTTATATTTTTCTTACTAGATTGATCCTAGAAGAACACAGAATGATAGGGGTGTCACTTTTTCAGGACTCTGAAACACTGGTTGAGGAAGGAGTCCAGATAGATCCTTTTAATCTGGATAAAGAAAGAGAAGAAGGATACTTTGATGCCAATGGAAATTATGTTGAATACGTGAATGAGAATGAGATCAAGGTAGTGAATTTAAATGAAAGTACAATAATTTAGCAAGTCCAAGATTCTTATGCGAAGTTTTGCAGGATGCATGGCTTGATAGTGTTGATGTCTATGAAAAGTATAATGCAAAAAGTTCTATTCCAACTAGTAACGATGAAGAATCTCGTGACCTTACCTCGGAAGAACTTGCAAAAATAAAGAGGCGGATTGCTAATGTTCTTGAGCCTGGAGAAACGGTAATCTTTCAATACAACTATTGCTGCTCATCGTGCATGTCATTCCTTTTCTTTTGGATGTCGGTAGCAGATTCTTGGTTGTCCTTGGATTGTTAATTTTATTTTCCTTCTTTGCTTGACTGCTTCATCAGTTTTCCTTCAGCATAAAACAGTTCTATTTAGTAACTTGCTTAGAATTAATGCAGTGTTCAAAAGGGATTGTTCAGTTTTTCAATTAAATGCCATGCACATTGATGTAGAATGAATGATTCAATAGCTATAATAAGAAGAGATGGGGGAAGGGGAGAGAAAAGAAGAACAGAGGCGGGGAAGAGGAGAGGAAAACGGCTGCAAGCCAACTATATGATTCAATCAATTCATCAACTGAAAAATAACAATGTAAAATGAGTTTAAATACTGGAAAATGCTGCAAACCTAGGGTCAAGCCCAATACACAAGTCCATAAAATTAAATTAACCTAAATCCAACTAAAATAATTAAACTGCTAAAATAATTAAAACTGGATTGGGATGTCCTCATCAATTCTCTCGGGGTGGGACAGGAAACTCGACCCTGTCGAGTGGCTATATCACCATAGGCATCTGTCAATCTCCCAACCATATGCTGAGTGGCTGGGCAAGCTTCTTCCGGCGTCTGTAGAAATGCGTCAGTGGTGGTCTGAACCTGGTGTCCTCGCCAACTCTTCTTGGGTGGACGGGAGGCGATCTGGGCCTGGAGTGTCACCCTGGAGATCCATGCACAGTCACAATCTCGTTGACCAACCCAACGAACAAGGAAGCGCTGAACCTCTCCATCATTAGTGAACACAGTTTCTTCTCTAAAATAGCATCAATTTTTTCTGTGTGCTGTGAGAGGTGGTAGTGGGTTAGAAGGGGTCAAAAAATCAGGGTTAAGGTTCACAATAGGAGATGACAGAGGATCATCTAAGGGAATGAAATGACCTTTATAAGCTACAAGGTCCTCAACATTGAAAGTAGAGTGGTAACCAAGGTGTGGTGGAATGTCAACAATATATGCATTTGGACCAATCTGCTTTAAAATTTTAAAAGGACCAGCACTACGAGCTTGCAATTTAGAGGCAGGTCCATGTAGACGCCGCTGTGGCCTAATGCGAACCATAACGTAATCCCCAATGTTAAACTCAATATGTCGTTTGTGTAAATCAGCTTGGAGTTTATATTTTGCATTACTAGCTTCAAGTTGTTTATTGATCTCAATATGCAAGTCACGAAAATGTTGTGCAAATGCTTCGGCTGATACTGACACTTTAGCCTGTGGGGACATAGGGATGAGATCTAACGGTTTCCTTTGTACCCATGAACGGCTTCAAATGGACTCATACCTAGTGAATGATTTATAGAGCTATTGTACGCAATTTGAGCTACAGGAATGATCAAATCCCAATTTCGAAGGTTTTCTTGGACCAAACAACGTAATAGGTTACCAAGACTTCGATTAACTACTTCAGTTTGACCGTCAGTCTGAGGATGGTAGGCCGTAGAAAATTTCAATTTGGTACCCATCTTGTGCCACAAAGTTCTCAAAAAATGGCTAGTGAAACGAACGTCCCTATCAGACACGATGGTTTTGGGAAGCCCATAGAATTTGACAATTTCATTAAAGAATAACTGGGCAACCTTGAACGCATCCGACGTCTTGCTACAGGGGATAAAATGAGCCATCTTTGAGAAGCGATCGACAACCACAAAAATGGAGTCATGCTTCTTAGGGGTGCGTGGAAGTCCTAACACAAAATTCATACTAACATCGTGCCAAGGACAATTAGGGACAGGGAGAGGGGTGTATAGACCTGTGTTCTGTTTCTTCTGCTTACTCAATTGACAAGTGTTACAAGTACTAACAATCTTAGCCACATCTTTCTTCAAGCTAGGCCAATAGAATTGACGTTCAACTTCCTCTATGGTCTTATCACGTCCAAAATGACCGGCTAACCCTCCCGCATGAATTTCCCACACGATGAAATCTCACACTGAAGTTCGAGGGATGCATAATTTATTGGCTCTAAAGAGGTAACCCTCCTCAAGTCGGAAGCCATCTGTGGCGCTTGATTGTCCTCTTTGTAAATCGAGGAAGATATCTTTAAAATCGGGACACGCCTCATAATCCTCCTTAAGTCTTTCAAAACCGATGACCTTGACACTCATGATTGACAAAAGGGAGACACGACGACTTAACGCATCAGCTGCTTGGTTCTCTACACCCTTTTTGTGTTTTAAAACAAATGAATAGGCCTGTAAATATTCGACCCAATGACCACGCCTAGAACTTAATCTTTTCTAGGAGTTGAGGTAACGGAGGACCTCGTGATCTGAATAAAGGACAAATTCCTGGGGTAACAAATAGTGGCGCCAATAGCGCAAAGCTTGGACCACTGCATTCAGTTCCTTATCATAAGTGGAGTACCGCTGTTTGGCCTCATTTAACTTCTCACTGAAATAGGCAACAGGGTGACGATCCTGACTTAAGACTCCGCCTATACCTATCCCGGAGGCGTCACATTCAACTTCAAAGACTTTGGAAAAATCGGGAAGACGCATGACAGGGGCTCCGTCATTCGCTTCTTGACTAACTTAAAGGCCTTAGCCGCCTCTCGTGTCCAATGAAACTCCCCTTTCTTCATGCACTCCGTAATAGGCGCCATAAAAGTGCTAAACCCCTTAATAAAGCGACGGTAGAATGTAGCTAAGCCGTGAAAGCTTCTGACGTCATGGATAACTTTAGGCTCAGGCCAGTCAATAATCGCCTGAACCTTAGCAGGGTCAGGGGATACCCCTGTCGAAAAGACAATGAATCCCAGAAAAACGACTATGTCGATGAAGAAAGAGCACTTCTTGACATTCGCATATAGATTAGTTGCACGAAGGGTAGAGAAAACTTGCGTGAGGTGGTCAAGGTGTTGCTCCTTAGTCTTACTATAGATGAGGATATCATCAAAGTAGACAACAAGAAACTTGCCCATGAAAGGTCGGAGAGTTTGTGTCATTACTCGCATAAAGGTACTTGGCGCATTGCTCAGCCCAAAAGGCATGACTAGCCATTCATAAAGACCATCTTTCGTCTTAAACGCAGTCTTCCACTCATCACCTGGGCGAATTCGAATTTGATGGTATCCACTCTTCAGATCAATCTTTGAAAAGATTGTGGCACCAACCATCATATCTAACATATCGTCAAGTCTAGGAATTGGAAAACGATACTTCACCGTGGTCCTATTGATCGCGCGACTATCCACACACATTCGCCAAGAGCCATCCTTTTTGGGCGTCAATAGGGCGGGGACCGCACACGGGCTTAAACTCTCACGAATGAATCCCTTGTGAAGGAGATCACCCACTTGCCTTTGAAGTTCAACGTGCTCGGTAAGATTCATCCTATAATGAGGCAAATTTGGGAGGGATGCCCCTGGAACGAAGTCTATGGCATGTTGAATATCCCTCGGTGGAGGTAGATGATCAGGGAGGTCCTCTGGAAAGACGTCTCGAAACTCTTGGAGGACCGATAGGACTTCAATAGGGCTCTCTATTGCGGAGTGTGATGGGACCTCCATGACCACCAAAGCGAAGACAACTGAGTCACCAACAAGTGTACGCTCAAACTCCGTAGGACTAATGATATGCAATCCTTTTCGTTCCACACTTTTCAACAGGCTTCGGAGGCAGTAGGTTAAGGTGAATCTTCTTTCCATTAAACACAAAGGAGTAGGAATTGGATCGACCGTAGATGGTGACATCTAGGTCAAATAACCAAGGTCGTCCTAAGATGATGTGCCCGACGTCCATTGAAATGACGTCACACCATATATGGTCCTTATACTCGAGAAACTGGATAGGGACTAAACAACGCTCCTTGACAGCTATGGAGGAGGTATCAACCCAAGAGACGTTGTATGGCTGAGGGTGAGGAACGGACTTCAACCCTAGACGGAATACAATAGCCATCGAAACCGCATTAATGCAGCTGCCACTATCTACTATAACTTTACAGCCCTTATTATTAATCTTGATGTAAGTGTGGAAGATGGCATGACGGCGCCAATCATCGGCATCCCTCGGCTGGGTAAGAGTACAACGGACGACACCGACCCTAAGTGTATGTGGGATAAGGGGACTAGCCTGGATACAACCCAAGAAGGTATCTTCACTATCCTCCAAGTCATCAAACTCTTCTAACTTAGGCTCATACACCTGATCCTCTAGTGGCTCGTCAACTATACCTTCACGCTCTTCCAAAACTAGGGCTCGGCTAGGACATTTAGAAGCAATGTGACCAAAACCCTTACAGTTGAAGCATTACAAACGAGAGGACGTTCTTGAAACTTCAGAACCTCTACCTTTACTATCCGATGTAGGGGTAGGAGTAGAAGGAGGAGGTCCTAGAATAGACTTAGGGGATAGAGCGGATGCAGAAGAGGTTGCGGTGCGGGAGTCACTACGACTTCTGTACAGTGTCCTAGTCACTAACTCGTAATCCCGAACGAAAGAGTAGGCGTGGTCAAGAGTGGTGACGCCTCTAAGAACAAGCTCACGTCTAAGATCATCCCGTAGGTCTTGCCTAAACCTACTCAAAGTCATGACTTCGTCCTCAACGACCTGACATCTCATTCGAAACTCGTCAAACTGAGCAACATATTGGGTCACAGGTCGACTGCCTTGTGTAAGTGCATTCCATTGATCCAGCAAGTTGCCTTCGTAAGATTGAGGTAAATATTTTTTTTTAAGGCGACGCTTCATTTCATCCCAATTCCCAACAGGGGGAGCATGGCGCCTCTCTAGGAGGTCCTCAACACTTTCCCAAAACAGTTGAGCTGTGCCAGTCAATTTCAAATTGGCAAATTGTACCCTTCGATCTTCAGGGACCCCATACCAGGCAAAGAAGCGATCCATATCCCTAACCCATTGATTGAATACACTAGGATCTAGACAACCATCAAATGTAGGGGCATCTAACTTAATATTTTGAAAGAGGCGCTCCTCGTGGCGAGGGGGCGACAGTGTACCATGACGGTGATATTCCCGCTCGCGCCCACGAGCTTGATTTCCTTCCCTACGATCATGTCTAGCATGGTGTCGACCACCTTGTGGACGACGATGAGGTCTATTAATGGAAGCGTTAGAATTTTCAGCTTCAGTTGAGCATTGGGTTGGGTCAAGAGTGTTTACCCTAGCCGTTAGGGCTCTATTCTCCTCGCGTGGAGCGGCTAACTTAGTTTGGACAGCCGTTAATTGATTTTGTAATTGTGCCAACTGTCGGGTGATAGCTTCAATGTGGGAAGGGTCCATGGCAACGGTACTAGAGCTAGAGGCAGTAACGCGACCACTATGCAATTGCATACACGGTAACACAAGCTAGGTGAAGTGTCTACTGAGATCAACAACCAACGAGTGCTAGCAGGGAAAATAGTGATTGAAATTTATCCATTGTTATTATTATTATTATTATTTTATTGTAAGGATTACGTACGGTCCGATCGCAAGCTCATACTACTAATGCCAATAAAATAAAAAAAACAAAGGTACAAATGCTAGGTCTAGTCACGTGGGGTGAACAATGGGGTCGGCTCGTGAATTTCAATCCAATAGATTTAAGGCTAAATTATCCAAATATTAGCAACACAAAGAGTTAAATGATGCAATTCTAAAATACAGTAACAGTGTCACTAAAAATAGATAGAAGTAGAGGCTCCCTGAGTTCAGTTGGCCTGAGTCGTCCTAGCGTCGAATGTCTCCACGTTCTGAACTGGTAAGCGCTGAGATGCCAAAATAGAAAATTCCATGTTCGTCGAGGAAATAATGTATCTATAAAAGAATATCAGGAAATTCTCAAAATTTAAATTTTTTTTTTTTGACTTTTTTTTTTTTTTTAATAAAACAAAATCAAAACAACAAAAAATATCAGGAAATTCTCAAAATTTAAATTTTTTTTTTTTGACTTTTTTTTTTTTTTGAATAATACAAAATCAGAACAACAAAATAATAAATGAGCCCATTTCACAAATTTGGGCCTAAATCACACTCAAAATCTCAATCAAGCCCAAACCAAGTAATAACTAATCAATCAGCCCGATTGAAATTAAGCCCAAACCCAATTGATAACTAATAACCCAACCCACTTAATTAATAACCCAATTAACCCAAACCCAATTGATAACTAATAACCCAACCCACTTAATTAATAACCCAGCCCAAACCCATAATTCATGACAACCCACTGAAGGCTGCAGAGGTCGGCGACTGGAACTGGCCGACGAGGAACGCCTCAACGAAGTGGGGCACTGGTGAGAGAGATGATTCCGTTTCTGGTTTTGGATGAAGGTAATATGTTGGTCGCCTGCGGGTGTGGGTGTCGCGTTACAGTGGTATTATTTTCGACAGTTGGGCTTGGACGGCTATTACTGGAGCGGGAACTGCCGTCGCAAGGTTAATGAACTATTCTGGAATTAAACTTTTCTGGAACTGCCGTCGCAACGTTGGTTTATATGGGAATTAAATTTTTTCTGGTTTTGTGATTCGTGGGTTAATGAAGATGATTGTGAGAATTTTCACCATTTGGAGTCATGGTCGGCGGCGGCTTGGTCTTTTGTTTGGCTGTAATTCCGGTAAGTTGGTTGTATGTAGAAGATGTCGGAGGGAGGGACTGGGTTCTGCAGCAAACTGGGATTCTATTTCTGTTTTTGTTTTTTTTTGTTTTGTCTGCAGCAACGGATTCTGTATTGGTGCTGCGTGAATTGTTGTCCAGGGTTTGCTCTGATACCAATTTGATGTAGAATGAATGATTCAATAGCTATAATAAGAAAAGATGGGGGAAGGGGAGAGAAGAAGAAGAACAGAGGCGGGGAAGAGGAGAGGAAAAGAGCTGCAAGCCAATTTTATAATTCAATCAATTCATCAACTGAAAAATAACAATGTAAAATGAGTTTAAATACTGAAAAATGCTGCAAACCTAGGGCCAAGTCCAATACACAAGTCCATAAAATTAAATTAATCTAAATCCAACTAAAATAATTAGACTGCTAAAATAATTAAAACTGGACTGGGATGTCCTCATCACACATCAATGATAAGATAAATTATCATGGCTTACCTTTTGAGATCATATTATTTTGTATGCGTTACAGTTGTCTTTTGCAACCTAGTCCCTTAATTTAGCTGTGCAATAACGTAAAGATGGGGACTTCAATTCATACCAATATGGTGGTTGATCCAAGATATGTAGGTTGGTAGAACAATGTTCACATCAAGTACGGTGGGTGGTGACATAATAATCAGAATTCTGCCCCCCACCCGAGAGGGGACAAGCTACTTTCTTATTGAAAAAGTTCACCTGTCACACAGAAGGGGTAATTAACTGTTCGTAGTACAATCACTAATGCTGAGATTGCTTCTCTGATCTGGAGCTGCTACATTTTCTCCTAAGCCATGTTGCAATCGAATTTTACATTTTTGTGAACTTTTTTTTAGTGTTCTCTCAGAAGTTGAATTTTTTTTCAGGTTTTGCAAGCTTTGAGGAGATTGAAAGGAACCTCAGGTAGCAAGAAGCAGAAGATGTCTGCAGAAACTAAATTGCTGTTTGATAAGCTAACTGAAGATGCTATGAAACTGATGGAGAGTGGGGATTACAGTTGAGTATCTCCTTCAATATTTTAAGAGAATCTATCGGAAACATGGATCCTGATCTGTAACAGTAATCCTTTTTTGATATTTGTTTCAGATGTGTATGATGAAAGACAAGAAAGTTTTCAGCGTGAAGCAGGTCTGTCCTACAGCTGATTTTCCATCCTCTTTTCTTCAATAGGTTCCCCTTCGTGTTAATCTTTCAATATGGTTCTCGTCCTTTTCATTTTTTCTTTCATTCTCGCCATCTTCAGAATTTACATCATTACTACCCTTATAAAGGGTTTGGTTGTATAGATTTTATATTTTGGAGCTTATTTCTTTCAGTCCCATCTTGAGAAATGAGAGGGACAAACTTTTGATGTCAAATAGTCAAAATCACCTTTTTTAATTCTGTCTACATCTGAATTTGGATGGAATCCTTTCCCTTGAAGATATTTCAAGATGATGGGAACTTACCTAAATGGGAAGTTGTTTTATACATTATTCTTGATTACCTTTACCTATCAGAAAAATTTCAGAACCGATTGGGCACTTTCATAGGTAAAAGTGGAAAGATGTCAAAGAGTCTTCTCCCATTCTGTAAATTTGATACAAGTCAAACAAGATATTTAGATTGAGAAGGGGCCCAAACAATTTAAGATCTTTTGAATTTAGACCCTTCTATTTAGCTTTCCAAATCTATCTTGTGCTCCAACTGGTACATATAAGTTTGGTGTCTCGTTATTGTTTATTTTATTGATCTTCAGAGGGTTATGAGAAGTTAGCTCAGGCAACGATGCAGAGTACCTCCATGAGTTCAGGACAGGAGAACTCATATGATGAAGATGCCATTCCAAATGGGACAGACGTGATTAGACCCTCTTCTATACCATCCAACATCGACAGGGATTCTTCAAAACTTGGAATTTCTACCAGCGCAAATGATGGTGATGATGCTTTTGACATATTCTCGGAAGATGATGTAAATATTTCTGTGAATTTAGCCTCCGATGGGAGTGGATCTGTTCCTGTTCAGCCTTCTGAAGGTGAGCAAAGACTAGTATTCTAAGCTTTGAATTGGAAATTTAGCAACATTACATAACTTGCAACGTTTTTTTACTCCAGGTGGAGATCTGCAGAATGATTATGTACATGATGAGTCTTCTGGGTACACATCTTCATCTTTTAACCATTGTGCAAGGCACACAATCACTTTATTCCAGTTATATTGCTTTCAGAATAGGTAGAATTCAAGTCACTTCTTTAACTGTTTCTACGAGCGTTCTTCTGTAGCAATATGTCCCTTTCTTTGTCAATCTTTAGAAGACACAGCCCATTTAACTAAAGTATTGCATGTTTGTCACTAGATAATATATGCTTATTATTGCATATATTTCTTAACAATTGCCATTACTGCCACTAAAGCAGTTTAGATACGTCCATTTTGATCCATCTGTAAGAAAGATTACAAGGCACTTATATCAATCTCTATCTTATTTACTATTATTTGATTTTATTGTCACGTAGCATTGTTCTCGATAATCTGATATCCTCTCTCAATTTATATGTTCGATACTACTACAGCAGCAGTTTGGGTTACTACTATGACCCTTCTTCGGGGCTATATTGCTCTGCAGCATCAGGACAATGGTAACAATAAATTGCCAAAAATTTGTCTTTATTCATATGATGCGTTTAACTGTTTTAGAGGGGTCTTATGTTTAAAAAGTTGTGGGTTTATTACTACATATTTTATTTTAATGTTATCTAAGTGAATTAAAAATGAGGAAAAACATACTTCTGAAGTTCTTATGCAATGAAGTGAAATTAGCTGTTTGTGTGAGTAAGGTGATCTCTTTAGGAAAGTGCTTATCTGTTCTTGACATCCTTTGCCATATTGTCGGTGTCTACTATTTGTTCATCTTGATTTTCATGGTTTACTGTGCAAGCCTATAAAGAATAAGCATTGTATATCAAAGACTTCACTCTCCTGAAGCATGAAACAGTTGTGCATCTTTTACGCACCATGTTGTAATTGTGTTTTCTTTTCTTGTGTCTGTCTCTTTCTGTCTGGTCTTTTTAAGAAAGAGTAGGCAGTGTCCTTTTTATTGATACATCTGATTTTTGTAAATGCCTCAAAAGTTTGCTTGTATGGGAAAAAGGTCAAAATAGTTGTAGGAATAAGAAGCTGTGGATATGTGAACATTGGCATGATTCTTCGACACCATCAGAAGCTCACCTGTTACGTTTCTCCACAAATTCCATGCTGAATACAGGGGGGATGGCTTTCTTGTCTTCTCAATCTGTTCCTTTTAGGTAATAGTATCACAGAAGCACATTCATTGAGTGCCAGCTCCCTGTTCACTCAAGAGGATGAGTTTGTTTGGATTTTTTTGTCAAGTTTTGCTCTTAGAGCAACTGCTGTCAAAGTTCTCCCTAGTTCAATCCACGCTGCATAAATGCCTGAAATGTGTTTTTAACCTTGTAATGCAGAGTCGAGCTATAACTGTGAATCTCTGCAATCTATCCATGGTTTATTTGAATGGTGATTGGCAAGAGGAATTGATAGAAAATGAAAAAAATGATCCCTCATCCAGGTACATTCTTTTAGTATTTTGCTTGGATCTCTAGTGGCACGACTTGGAAGTGCAAGTCTTGGAGCCTGAAATTCACCCGCAACGAGTTTGTTATTAGAATTCAGGGAGAACATAAAGCCATTGTCGTCTTTGGGGTTGAGAGAGATCTTAATGGCAATTGCCCAGTTACATGAATGCTGCGATTAGCTTTTATGTGTCAACTTGTGTATTTATTTTTCTTTCATCCATACCCTGTGGAACACTTTCGTGGCAAATTAAAATGATATTTTCTGGGAGTGTAGTCTATTTCTGATGGCATATATATGATATTTGTGTGTAGGTACTCTTATAATGAAGTGTCGGGGGGTTATGAGGAGGTCCAACAAACTGCATCCAGCGTGAGCTGAGGAAATATAGAGTTTCCTCGTTTAAAGGTAATGCATGATGCAAACGAAAAAACCTGGAATTCTAATTTGCAGGCACGTTGCTTCGTATGAATTTCCTATTTCTTTCATTCCCCTTCAGGTGTTGATTCATTTATGTATGTTTGGATTGGAACCGATGGGGATTGGCAGTATCATTGAAACTCAGTAATAAACTAAAGCTGGCCGAAATTGTTTACAGTCTTGCCCACACGACTAAACGGAAAATAAAATAGCAGAATTAGAATAATGCTGTTCAAACAGGGATTCCCAAGTGTGTCATTTATTTATTTATCATTATTACAAACTGTCAAAAATGATGTTGCGCAATGTGTCTCCCTCATTTTAAACCTTCTCATTGAGTTTGATTGTGTCGCATGATTGACATGATTATGCAAGAGATGTAGAAACCTTGTACTACAAAGGTCACGACGATATGGATCGAAATAGTAACTGCCCCTGATTGTTGTTTCTTTGCGTTTAAATTACTACTGCATGCTGATGTGATGTAATCGAGTGACAGAGACACTTCACAATCCAAATGTTATTGTTTCATTAGTTGCTTGATTCTGGAAGTTGCCATGTGAACCTGTTCTATATCTTTAGCGGGACAGCCAATTAGTCTAAAGACTTTTTGAAATTGAAAGATAGAATAGATGATCTTTTATGATTTGAATAGATTACTTTATCACTGTAGTGTCCTGAACGACTGGACTATCTGATGAGCAGTAGTAGAATTCTTCCCTTGTAAATATAAGATATGAATTGTGCTTGGTGTACACTCACGTGGGCCCCACTCCATGTGAGGAGGTATGAACACTTCTATGCACACATTTTACATACATCTAGACTTACCCATAAAATATAGCAATATGTTTAATGTAATAGGAATAAATTCTCTCATCTCTCCACATCCAATCCCTATTGTTTGCTTTTGGCTACGGAAGAATCATTTTTTCTTAGTCTCCTATCATATCATATAAAATGGCCGAAAATCTAAAAATGCATATCTAATCAAATTCAACCTTTCTTGATAGCTTGGAAACAATATTATCTGATTTCACGGAAAACGCCTAATTTAACCAATTTGGACTAAGCTAACCAGGTTCAGTAAGCGACGTGGTCACCCTCCCATTGAGCAAATGGACCAAATGTCGAATTCCCTAATATAAGGAATTTCCTTTCCAGCTCGATACACTTATTCTATTCCCTGGCAGTTCTGCTTCATCTCAAAAAAAAATTTCATACCAGCTGCTGGCCAAATCCGAGGGGACTCCTGGAGCTGCAGCTTGGATTACCAGACTTAAAAGAGCAGCCACTGCAGCAAGGCAAGATACCAATTTGTCTGATTTTCGGTGCTCCCTTGCCTCACAGCAGCGGGTTCTGTCTTTTAATAGTGCACTAGACATGGAAAATTCAACCTGGGGGCGCTTTCAGGAGTCGAGTTCCATGAACATGAATAAAAGACCACACTGCCTACTCCCCTCAAATAAGCCACTCTAGTGTCACTCCTTGTGATACCCGCTACCGTATTGCATAAGTGATTGGCTTAGATTAAATTTCTAAAAATTTGCCCAGCAACATGATAAAAGAATTAGCTTAGAAGCAGCACGATGATACTATTATACAATTGGCTTTAATGAATCACCTAACTCATCCTCACTGCCTATATGCTGTAAAAAATGTACGTTCTCTTCAATTTTCATACGAGGCATGCTTAGTCAAGAAAAAGTTGGGTGGCCAAGAAAGCAACCCGGGGGGGGGGGGGGGGGGGGGGTGCTGTACAAAAGGACCGGTTGCCAGTCCAACGGTCCAGTTTCCATAAGACCGGTTGCCAGTCCAACGGTCCAGTTTCCATAACTTTGAGCAGCAATACAAACTTAATGAACCAACCAGCAAAGCACTTTATGATAGAAGGTGCCAGTAGTATTATAATGCGATTGTCTTCCCTAACAGCTAGCAATGATAAAGTCAACATCTCTGACAGAAATCACCATAAAAAAAGTGAAAATTAAACCCTGATATCAGGAAGTCTCCTGCCATGACACCATTATACAAACTCAAATCTATTCAGCTCACTGCCATTTTGTCATTGATGACTTATTCAACGTGTTATAATCAGAATTCTATGCTCCATTTAAAAGCAAATCCTATCTTACATAGCTAAAGAACGTAGAATCTACGAGACTACCCCCACAGAAAGATCAACCAATCAGTCAAAGGACTAGTGACAGTATCAAAACATACAATTCAGGAAGTCAGTCTCGACTCGAGCAGATGGCTAGATCAATATTCATGGTTTCCATTTTTATAATTCCATAAATGTAAAAAGAACACACATCTCTAAAAGCACAAGTTTTAGTACCAACGCACCTATTTGAAAAGTTACTCATGCCTAAAGCAACATTTCCCTTTTTATAATTCCTTATTGTAGAAAGAACACAGCTCTTTAAGTATTAGTACCAAACTACCAATACGCCTATTTGAAAAGTCAAGTTGCTGCAAATCACAGGTCCTCATCACACAACCAGATAATCCAGCAACAGGGTGCATCTACAGCCAATGAAGTAGATTCAATCACACCTCAAAGCTACATCTAAAATCATCAGATCCTTTCTGCTGCAGCACGGGCAATACACTAATATATAATCACAAAACAACACATATCAACAACTAAACACACTACTGTTATAAACCACAAACATGTATAAATCAATCCCCAAACAAATAGACACTGATTCATTACCCAATTATGTCCTCATCGCTGAATGTTTCAAGTGAAGTTGTCAAGATATAATGTGAGCACTATTAACTGGATATCAGGTCCAGTAGCCCTCAGTATGAGTAGATTCAATTTGTGTCAACCGAGTCCAGCACAGCACTGGTTCCCATTTCAGAGGCAAATAGTGTAAACAACCAAAGTTCACAGATGATAACAAAGTCACAAGGCTATAAAAACAGAGGGAGTCAAAATCAGATTCACTTTATATTATTAAGGGTCATATATTCTTAATTAGAAAGAAGGCTTACCAATGACAATGTCATCCATAGAACACTCACAAACATCCTTGGAATCAGCATCTGCTATTCACAACCAGCATCTAATGATGACAAGCATCAACAACCACATCATCGTCTAGCCATCAACCCCACTCAAATCTTTTCTCGAGCACAACTATAAACCCAGTGGGAGTTTCATAACAAGTTAGTACTTCTATTAACTGACACCTTAAGTGGGGAACAAAGAATCACAGTGAAAAGTGCCGAATGTGGAGATTGAAATATGGGAAAATTGGAACAAAAGAAGTTTGCACAAGCAATCAACCAACCAGAAATGCAAGATTCATACAAATATTAAAGCAAGTCTAAGAATCCATGAGTGATAAACACCAACCACAAGCAATATGATGTATACAATGCATTTAACATAATAATTGTTGAAATCAAAAGATCAAATCCTACCAAGGTCCCTAACGCTCCTTCTAGAACATGCATTAGATTCAAGTTCGAGACATCAGCTAAAGTGCCACAAAAGATATAATCCCCTTCTAGGAGCTGCATATCCAAAATCGTGCAGATCACTCCTACAAATCCATAATACAACAATAAATAGTTACACACACATTTTAAACCAATAGAGTGTAATAACAGATCCAGTTTAGACACTCACATTGTCTGGATTCTGAGGAGAAGAGCTACAAAAATCAATCACTTGGTTCTGGCAAGACATACTTCGATGCCTTGGGACTTGGGGACAGCTCATGATGGCTGCGCCTCTCAGGACTTCCACCCCTAGGAGATGGTGTCCTTCGTGGGGACAGACTCCTATAAGGGCTAGGGCTACGCCGGGGTGGAGAGGCACTGCAATATTTTAACGGAATCCTTTTTATTATAAGGTGTGATATGAGGAACCAAAACTAAAAGAATAGAATCAATACGATGGGAAAACCTTTCAAATGATCTACTACTCCTCCGGGGCTCATCTATGTACCGTCCCCTGCCACGGTATCTATCATGGTCTGGGCTGGCACTATAACTCCTGCTCCGGTACCGATGACCATGTTTCCTCTCACGGTACCTGTCACGCTCATACCTCTCCCGACTTCTGCTCCGGCTTCTCCTGTATTCTCTATGATAATAATCTCGGTGCCTGAAAAATTACAAATCAATAGGTCTCAATAGAATCTAATGGAAAAATAAAATGACCAATGAAAAGCATTTTGATAACTGAATTCCAAATATCAACATAACAATCTTCATGAAATCACATCAAGAAGTGGCAGCAAATGAGCTATTGGGAGACTGCCAAAATTGAGTTATATTTCCTAAAAGTGCGCACTCATTGACTTTTTCCCATTTCACACATCTCATGTTTATCCTAAACTAAGCTCTCACGTAGTGATTCCCCAACGTTTTCTTAGCATCCCCGGGAAACAAAAACTTGGTTACCGACAGCCAGATAGAAATTGTCTTCCTTTCTCCCAATTTCCAGACCTCAAACTGAGTAAAATGATCAGATAACCCAATACCAGATCACTTCATTGAAACTGCATTCCTGGTTTCAAAAACTGTCTCAAATTCTGGTTAAAACTGACTAGCTCTAACAAAACCAAATCAGACCAGGCATTAGTCAATAGCGAAAAGAAAAAGACCATGCATTTGTGTACGAAATTGACACAATAATTGATAAATTTCCCGTCTATCAGAAAAACTTTAAAAGGAAAAGAAAAGATAGACAATCAGAATTTGACCTCTTGTAGAACAAAGAAAGGACACAGTCAAAAATATAAATGGTAATTAAGTAAAGATCAAATTGAACACCACATTTGTACTGCAAATACAAAGTTATAAACAATTAATCCGAAGCTACCGTAATTTTTGTTTGAAAAGTAATATTTAAAAGCACTTTCCATTCCGAAAAGTACTTTTAAAGAAAGTCACAGTGAACTAGTTTCCTCTAAAAGTTCTCTTAACTGCCAAAAACGCTATAACAAAATGAGCCAAACAGGTCCAAAAACAACTTATGGGTCTCAAAAGCTCCATTTGTCTTTTCAAAAGGCATACCAAACGGGCCCTTACACAACTCCAAAATGGACTAGATCAAGTAGATCTTTAAAAATTACCTTCTCCGAGGGCTTCTACTTCTTGATCGTCCACGACTTCTGGGAGCCTTTTCAACGACTCTTCCTTTGTGACTGGAGACGGAAACAAAAATAAAAAAAATATAAACAAACCATCACACTGTACCAAAAATACGGTGGGCACTCGTGTCATTAAGCTCCCGTTTGATCCCCATTACTTGAAAATGAAAATGGGGGAAATAGTATTTTTTAGAAAAATGAGTGGTTGAAAAAGAAGGAAAAGTTTTCGATTTACGTGTAATATTATTTTATGAAAGATTGTGTGGTTGAAAATAGCAGAGAGAAAAATGGAGTGTAATGTAATTGAATTTAATCGTAATCAAACGGGGGCTAAATGAAATGTAAATTATCCCATAATAGTCAAAGGATTAAGACAAAGGTGACAATGAATTTGTGTCCAAAAAAGAAATATCATAAATCAATTTACTGTAAACAACGAGGAACAAATACTCATCAACTGTAATATTAATACAATTCAAGATGCTACTCCACAAAAGTAATCAGGGTAAAGAAAAATGGGAATATAGCTCAAAATTTAACGCAAACAAACTAGATAACTTTCACTCACATCCGTTCTGCATTTGGCCCATACTTTGCAAACTGAACAGCAATTTCTCTGCCATCAACCACTTCCCCTGCAATACGATATTGTTCTCGTCAGTTTTATATCAGATTGCACAGCCAGAATAAAAAACACGAGACATTTTTCATTGTCATTTTGTGCATTCACCAAGATTTCCAATAATTTTCTTCAAAAACGATCATAGTCGTCTGTCTTAGCCACACGCATGCATTCCAACAAACTTTTTATGTAAACAAAATATCAATAAATCCTTGATCCTGTTTTAAATGCTCAAACTTTAATTCGCTTCCTCATAATAAGATGCCAGTGTAGTTGGCTATTTCAATCAAATTAATGTAATGATCTAGATGATGCAACAAAGCCTCCGTTTGGCAAAACATATAAATCGCTAAAAAATTGTCAAACTTCATTTTCAACTACACATACCAAGGGATCTACAATTACTATTCACTTGTCCGCCAATCATTTCAATTTATTCATAAATTAAACCGTTTAAAAATCCTTCCCAAACAGAGGCTAAACAATTGTTCGACTGATTGATAATGTATAGTTACTATAAATATGGAACACGCATCAGATTCAGACCACAATAACCGATATCCAATTATTCTGCAGATTGACTCAGAAACTACCACTAAAGCAAATATGACGGGAAATTTGTTATTTCTGTGAAAAAAGCATTTTTCGATCAGTAATGCGAGATTCCAATATGTTTTCATACATGTGGAAGAAAGCAAATTTAGGTGATGAATGAGTTTAAAGATGATTTTTCATTGCTACGCTAAATTTGCTAACCAGGACAAAACAAGTCCGTCTAAAATGAGTCCTTATGAAACAACGAAAGTTTCTACATCCAGTGCTAGTTGAGTCACATTTCAATTAATTTTCCAAACGTCTTAAGACGAAACCACTGTCTCATTCTACCTTTTGTGTCACTGTTCCTTTTCTAAAGCACCATTGTGATACAACTAAGCTCTAACATTTAGAGACTTGCCATTACTAATAATATGAAAAGGCCTGTTGTTTCCACTAATTTTATAATCTCTTCAGGAGGTCGTAGTGATGCCATTTATGCAGACGTGTAACTAATTGCCAAACATTTAGCATATTCAAAGTTGGCGCCGCTTAATATTGCCTAATTTTTGCTGTGTTTTCTAATGATATGGTCAAAGAAAGAGATCTTACCATCTAGTCTTTCCACAGCCTTTTGAGCTTCATCCTGATACTTATAACGGACAAATGCAAAACCCCGTGATTCACCAGTCCTGCAAAACATAATCAAACAACAAATCCATAGAATATCACAGATAAGTACCCAAAAATAGGATGTTCAGAAACTACATAAAATGGAAAATCAATTAAAATTACAAACATCATTATCCCTTGCAAATATTTATCCATAAAAATGCAGACAAAGAAGAACTAATATCATTATCACCTGCTTATACCTATCGCACAACGTAATGAATAAAAACTCCAAAATCATAATTTCTACCTCATCAAAAATTTCCTAGCACCCAAATGTTTTAAATTATTTCACGATAGTGGGAAGTATTTCCATACAACCATAAGTATCAAAGCTCCGTTTGGATAGAGAGAAAGAAAAGAACCACAACACATCGTGAACAACAACACAGGATCTCAAATAGAAAAATAAAGACAACATTATATTATTCGAAGGGAAAAATAAGTACCTTCGATCTCTGGGAATAAAGATATCGACGACCTTTCCATACTTGTCGAACAGCGGGAAGAGATCATCAGCAGACGTGCCTATCCGAAAAAAAGAAGGGGGGAAAAAACAAAGTATCAAACTAGGGTTTCATGCATTAATCTAAAAGGCAAAAAAAAAAAAAAATCAACAAAGAACGAAGAAAAAAATGCAAATTCAGAAAAAATATTATTAACCAAAATCAAACAAATTATATCAAGCTAGGGTTTCATAAATTCATTAAGAAAGCAACAAAAATAAAGCAATAACGGAGGGGGAAAAAAGCAAAAAAATAACAATAGATTATCAACTCACGGAAAGAGATATTGAGGATGAGAAGAGAGTATGTATCTGATATATCAGGAGGCCCTGATCTCCCGAAGTGAGACATTTTTCACTATCCCTTTTTCTCCAAGAGAACCCTAATCTGCTATAGAGTGAATTTTTTGTGTGGAAAAATTTGAGAAGGAACGTTCTGGAAGAATCAGAGATTCGAGTCCTGTTATGAAATTATTATGATGTCCTCCTTGTTCCATCTAATTACTGTTTAGCTTTAAAAATATTATTAAAAATTAATTATTATTTTCTGTTATATATTTTTTTTTATTTAAATTATTCGGCAATTTATATTTTCTGTTTGAGCCCCATTTTTTCACCCAAAAAATTGATTTTTTGATCGTTATTTTACTATTTCAGCCGTCATATTTGACTTCTTCTCTCACAAGTGGACCCCACTTTTCTCCTAACGGTCAAAAGATCAATTCTCAAAATCACTCCCAAACAAGCACATACATTGCCCTTGTTTGATAATTTTTTATTTTTAGATTTAACATGATCAAGCTTCATTTTTAATCGAACATTTTATTGAATACACTATTCTTATTCATTTTTGAATCACAGATTTCATGTGATACATCAACTTGAATTAAATTATTTTTCTCTCTCCTATTTTTAACCACATAATCTTTAATAAAATAATGTTACACTTAAACCGATTTCTTCCTCTTTCAATCACCCATTCTTCAAAAATTATTATTCCACCATTAAAATTTGAAATAATGAAGGTCAAATAGGGATATAATCTCAAAATATTTATTGAATAAGGGTGAAATAAGCGTAAATAATCTAATTATTATTTAAAAGTATAATTATATAAATATAAGTAATTTAATAATTGCATTACATGAATCAAGAAAAAGGTATTCAAGTTATTTGATAGGAATCCATCCCTCTATATCATTGAAGTAAACAAAGTTTGATAACAAAAATATATAGGGAAAATTGCAGCAGAAGCCTTTAATATTTTTATTTTTTGCAGATTTTATCCTAACTTTCATTTTGTGTCAGCGAAGATCCCCAACCTTTCATAAATATGCACCTTAAGTTTATCTAGACGAAAACCGTCCAAAACGCTGTCAGTTGGCCGAGAAAATTCCTTGAACTATCTACTACCGTGACGATTTTAATGTATTTTGATACCTTTTTCGAACGGTCTTTTTGGATGGTTTTATTGAATGTTGATTCCTTAATTTTTCCGATCAATTGACGATATTTTAGACGATTTTCGTCCAAATGGACCTCAAATGTATATTTATGGAATATTAGGAACCTCTATTGGCACAAAATGAAGGTTTGAGTAAAGTGTGCAAGAAATGAAAATATTAGGGACCGCTGCTGCAATTTTTCCAAAATATATACATATATATATATATTTTTAACTTGTAAGTATAACAATATAGTTTTTAAGGCATGGATAAATGAATAGAGCTAATTGTTCAGCATTGGTTAACAATCACGTATTGTCAAAATTCAAGCTTGTGGTGCAGAAAATAATTTTTAAAAATGGATGAATATGATAACGTCCTTCAAATTATCACTGTTATCTTGTCTTTTGTGGTTGAGATTGAGGAGCAATCGATGTGAATATATTGATTGTGGATTAGAACCATTTGAATTAGTTGTTTGGTAAAGAATGGTAATGTGAAATCGAGCCCGAAAATTACCATTTTGAAAATCCTTCGAGCAAACTTCCGTGACACCTTTTTTAAGCATTTATATTCAATTTTTAACATGGGAGGTGGAATTGAAGAGGTTGTAATGCATTAGAACAGGTTTCACGAAATAGAGAATGTTAGAGAATTTTTTAGTATAGGAATGCTAGAAAGCCAGTTCTATATATCATAAACTACAATTTATGCATTGAGTGTCGAAGTTATTAATGGACCAAATGTTCACACAATCGACGTAGTCAAAAGAAGATGTTAAGATGGACACCTGGCCAATGGATAAGGGTTGAGAGAATGTGTGCCAATGAATGGTCGTGATACAAATCGAGGAGATATTACTAGAAGAACAACTTGGGTGATTGAGGTAATATTACGTAGACTTACTCAATTCATAAGAGTTATGTGATCTCCATAGAACATGTTAGAAGAGAGAAGAGGGAGGATTAGACTAAAACTAACACGACCTGTTGTTGCTAAAGATTTATATTGCATAGGACTTTTTAGCACGTGTAGCAATGAACTAAATGAGGAGCCTAAAAGGGATTCAGGTAACTTATTCCATATTTATTTTTAATAAGGCTTAGCTTAAAGTTTTTTGTTGTTGTATTCAAAATAAATCCCAGAAACATAAACAACGAATCAATCTTACATGTGTCTGATCCCAAATTTATCGATAATAAGACTTAGTTTAGTGTTTTGGTTGTATTCAAATTTACCGATAATAAAGCTTAGCACATTTGTATTGTGGAAAACTGCTCAATGGAAGAAGAATCATTGCGCATAAGCTTTTGTTAAATTTTCATATGACCAAAAGCAACCATAAGGGGTTGGTATCTCCACTTTAAAAAGATAATTGCAGGATGTAAACATGGGAGGGAGAATGATACTGGCCTTTCAGAGACTTGGGGTCGTCTTTGGTGACGTAGGGACAAGTCCATTGTACACCTTTAGTGTGATTTCAGCAAGGCACCTGTCAGTGGGACTGAAGATATTCTTGGTGCATTGTCACTAGTTTTGTGCATCTCAATTCTATTTCCATTGAGAAAGTATGTCCTTATTGTTCTTTTGGCCAATGATCATCATTACGACATTACATCCATGGCCGTGCTCCGTATGGTTCAACTAATGAGTTTGATTCGATTTTGCTGAATTGTTGCAGATGATACATTTGCTTTGTATTTGTTGATTTGTATGCACGCTAAAGTTAGTCGTCTCCCTAACCAACTTCTATCAGATACTCACTCGTACATCGAGTTTCAGACTTTAGAGATGAGAAACCTAACGAAGATCTGTATTAAACAATCAATAGCAATTAGTTGCTTTCCTCACCTTAAGATAATTCATACCTCGCGAAAATTTACTGGTCAGATTTACATCTCATGTACCGGTTTCTACTAGCACTAACCCTTGTTTTAGTCTACACCATCTCCAGTATTTACCAAATTGGGAATGTTGATGATAATTCCTTTTATCAATTCTATTTGTAACTTTATTCATCTGTCTAAATTTGTTAATCTTGACCCCTATTTGTTTATCATTCTTTCCTATTAAAATGAAGAATATGACTGTTATCCATCGCATCAAGTCATCAAATTTAAATTTATATCTTTTGTGTGGGGTTCATCACGATTATATTTTTCATTCTCATTTTTACAAAAATGCTAAACAAACGTCTCCCTTGTTTACATCTTTCTATGTTGCACGCAAACTTCTATATTACAATAGTTAGAAGTTTCACAGACCTTAAATTTGGTTCAGTGTTTATATGCCGATCTGCTTTTGGTTTAATGTGTAAGAGCATATACAGAATGCCGATCTTGCACTCTTGTGTGAAGTATGGGAGCTGTTTTGATGCAATCCAGGATCCAAGAAGGCTAGAGTTCCACAACAATTTTTATTTATTTCTTTTTAAAATTTAGTCATTATATTTAATTAGGGTCAATTTTATATGGGCAATTATATTACCACTACAAATATTGTTAATTACACCACAATTTTTCTATTTACTTAAATCACCTTAAATAAAATTACATTAGTGGGTTTTCAATATATTTATCACGTAAAATAATCTATTCTTCCACTACAATCATAAAACTTTTAAAAATTTATCTTCTTCCCCAATTCCCCCTCAACCCAACCCTCAAAACTTCATCTTTCAATTAAATTTGGCCATTAAAGAAATTATATCTCTCTCACCGAAATTAAATTGATTATTGATTCTATGGAAGAATAATGATTAAAAAATTATGTTTCATTGATGAAATTGATTGAATTAATTCGTCCAGATGGTAGGCGTAGAGATACTGATGAAAGGCCTGAGCTATGCGAGGGACAATTGAGTTTGAAGCTTCCGAGGAATATACGGTCCGAGATCCGATGCCTGCTATACATTTCTTCCTTATTGATGTATCCACGAATGCGGCCATACAAACGGGTGCAACTGCAACAGCTTGCAGAGCAATTAACCAAGTTAACAACCTCTTCCAATTGTATCAAAGATATGAAATGGAGGAAATTTATTGATTTATGGTAGGGAAAATATAATACCAGATTCATATCATTCCTAGATCCAAAGTAAGTGCCTGTGTTTATACATGTTTGTATATATACATGTATAGATATTTAGGGTATGGATTTTCATGGGTACACCACAATATTATTTTTGTTAATTCATTTTTTGTTGGATTACGAGTAAAATTGTAAAGTTGTTGTGGTGCAATTTTTCAAAATAGATTTTAATTGTGGTGTAGGAAATAAATTTTGCGTGCTAATATAATTACCCATTTTATATTTACTAGGTTTATAAGTGAGCTGCAACATTGGTATTTTGGGAGTTCGTTCAATATTTTTGCTTCACGATCCATCAGTTTGATATCAGAATATGGTCCAGATTTTTGTCCAGATGTCCCCAAGGAGACAATGTAACATTTGTAATGCTACGAATGACATGATAAGAGAGGTGAGATTGCATAATTGCATTGACAAATGGACTATAGCTTTGGATACTTATAGCGAAGAATGGAGATAGAGGCATGCGAATGGGATGACAATTCATTCACGCCCTCCTGTCCACGACAATGAACTAGCGATTACTATCGTCAGCAGTGGATCGGACAATATGTCACAATTGTGTTTTATACTCGACCTTTTCTGAATTTAAAGTGATATTGAGGTAAGTAATATTTAGGTAGCAGGAAAATATTTGGATTGTGATGATGAAAGTTATGATGGTCCACCTATTTTTTGGAGTAAATGACTCACTTTTGACATAATTTTTGGTGGGACCCATTGGTCCAAAGTGAAAGATCAAAATTGATTTGTATTCTTCTTCGTAAGAGTATCGAAATCATATATTTACTTGTCAAAAATGAAGTTTGGATGAATGAGAAATTGGAACTCAAAGTTCACCATTGAAAGATGGCTTATGCAGGAAAAATTGAGTTTGTCCCTCATAAAAAAAAAATATGAAAGCAAGAAC